GGCCAGAACAATCGAGCCGTTACTCGGCTGGCTTACTCTCACCCCGCCCACGCTCTCTGCTAGTCACCAGCCCGTGGCCGCCCGCAGCGTCGCTGCTGTCGACCTTGTGCAGCTCATACCCCGCCGCTGCCGCCTGACGCCCCGCGCGTACCGGGGTTCAGGGGGAGACCCTCATCCATGCCATCTGAGTGCAGATTGGTCGGGGCTGGGACTGGCGAAGATTGCCGAAAGGTGGCGGGGAGGAGGAGGAGGATGTCATCGCAAGAGTGAGCAAGCAGATATCGCGGGATCAAATGTCGCGAGAGCTCTCCCAGCTTGCAACTGCCGAAAAAAGGTTACTTTTCCCGGAAGTAACGTCAATGGAAACCGCCGGGGATCCTGGGAATACAATATTTGTTCTAGCCTGAGGTGGGAGGGGCTACCGAGCTCTCACAGTCATGGCTGGCGAACTGGAAAGAGGTTTTGTCCCTTGGTAGGCCAACTCCGAAACCGGGTCGAACTGCGGACCAGTAGTTGCCGGGTCACTGTTCACCCTGGGACTTCTCCTGATTGTCTTCCGACAGAGCTGCTCATAGTCATCGCAAACATGTTTAATGCTGAGAAACTACGAATCCTCGGTGCTGTTTCCATTTTAACCCGTCAGGTGAGTTGCCTTGGCACCTGTGGCCTCAGAATTAGCCTTCTTCCCATCTGTATTTGGTTCTATGTAAGGGCCCCTCCTCCGGGATAATTTCATAAAGAACTGCTTTGAGCAAGCACTGTAAGAAATTTTTGTTACTCAAAAAAATCAGTTTAATGTGATGTGTTTTGTTTGTCCCTATGTCGTGTGTAACTCGAGTTTGATTCCAGATTGCAGCTCATTGAGGTATATCCGTCAGAACCGCAGTGCTCTAGTCATGAGTTTTGTGGGGGAGGTTATTTATTTTTGTACCAGGGATCGAACTGGGGACCTTGCACTTGTGAGGCAGGCGGCAGAACCACTGAGCTGAATCGCCGACCCGTCAGCTTTTTTAAAAGCAAAAAAATTATGTCCTTTTTTTTTTAAAACCCAGTTTTCTTTTTATTCGGTACCGGGAATCATACTCAGGGCCTTGCATTTGGCAGGCAGGCGCAGTGCCACTGAGATGCATCCCTGGCCCCAACCTGAGTTTTCCTTAAGTTCAGGAGAAAAATGGCATTAAATTATTAATTGGAGCCTTAAGCTATTGTAACACTCAGCAATAACAGTTACGCGTTTGGTTAGAGAAGGCAAATGAGGAGTCCCATGTACACAGTCCTTCCTGGTACTTTACCTGCTTAGCACAGATGCCAGATATTAGTTCAACAGGCAGAAAAAGCTAATCTTATCATAATACGAAACAGGAGAGAAAAGAAGAAATAACTACGTGCTCTAACTCTAGCAATGGTTCCACCACCACTAGCTTCTCAACTGGTGACCACAGCCACTCAGCCCCATTATGTGGGCCAGCAGGAGGTGAAAAATCATTGGAGAGGATGGGTTTTGCCTAAAATGTTGTCTCCTTCCTGTGCCTATCTGGGTACCCAATTTGCCCAGCGTCCTGCAGAGCATTCAGATGGAGTAATTTTTCACTGATTGTCTGCAAACAGACAACCAGATAGAATAATTTGTGTATGTTATCTTATTCTCTGCTTTTTATTTAATTGGAAAAAATAGTGGTTGTTTGTATCAGGACAGTCCATCCCACAAGGAAGATTTGCCTCCGTTTTTTGCTACCTATCACCCTATTTGCACTGATAATTGGCTCTTGTAAGCATTATGCTCCATCTCAGTGGCTTCATCTAGTGTGCCCAGTGAATCCTGCCTAGACCAGCAGCAAGTAAAACCTGGATTGCCTCATCTCAAAAATTATAGGAGAAAGCCTATTGATGGGATTTCAAAGGTGAGTCTCTAAAGAGTATTAATTTTAATTTTGTTTAGCCTCTCGTACATTTTAGATGACACCATACAGAAAGCCAAAAAACCTCAGGAGGATTCTTCCAAATTTTTGGAGCACCATCTATCAGGTGTACCGACAATATATGGATATCAGTGCTGAGGGTCCAGAAAATCAAAAAATGGTAAATATGACTTTTACCAGCCAAAGTGCTACTGATACATAAAGGACAAGAGTTGATGGAGCTTTAGGAATGTCAACTTCACACCTAATAGAAATGGCATTTAAAGTTTATAATAACAGATCAAGCACAAGATTTGAAGAAACAATGGAAAATAAACAATAGGTTTCCTTGCTGGTAGCAGCACTCACAGAAATCCAGAAGAAAAAGCAGAAAGGATTATGAGGATAACTCAAAGAAAGTAAATAAACAGACTCCTCCAGGAAAGAATTATTGCAGTTATTGCAAGGATGAAGGATGCTGGATTAGTGATTTCCCAAAACTGAAGAAAGAATTATAAAAACAAGTAAGAACTCTGCCACCCAAATGTTAAAATTAGAGGAATATCAGATGAATGAAAAATTCAGTGAGTGAATGAAAAATCCATGAGCTTTCTTAGATTTAACATGAGCTCTAATTATATCTCCATAGAAGCCTGAGTACAATGGGGAACAAATTTATTGACTTTCTTGTATATACATATTAGGGACATTTACTCTCTCATTGACACCTACCTATCTCCTGATCAAAAAATTTTATGAATAGCTGGGCGTGGTGGTGCATGCCTGTAATCCCAGCCCTCAGAGGCTGAGGCAGGAAGATCACTGCAAGTTTGAGACCAGCCTGGGCTACATAGTGTCTTCCAGGTCAGTCTCAACTACATAGTGAGACCCTGTCTCAAAAAAAAAAAAAATTATGACTACAATGAGGGTATCAGGAAAAGCCTTACTCTTGTCTTTTCTAAAGCCTTTTGAATACACCTTGGTGAAGTGAATTTAAAATAGACCATATATGCCTGAGTACCCCCTTTCTCTATTTGGCCATGACTTTCTTGTAAAACTAAAGGTTTGGGTAACTTTTTCAACAGGGTGACTAGAAATAGATGTTTCAGGGGAACATGCCTGAACCCTCCAGGTGCTACTGCTACAAAGTAACTCTGGACAAGAACCAGAATTGCCTGAACTACCAGGCCTGTCTGGGTGCCCCTAAAGGAAGGCCATAAAATATTTCCAACAATATCCCTTTGAGAAGTAAGCCATAGGGCAGCAAAAAACAGCCAAGAGTCACTTAATACCCCAAGGCTTATTCTCTGCTTTTTCATGTTCTAAAAGATCGAGACTTTCATTAAACCCAGGAGGCCCAAAGTTAGAATGGTTAAGAAGCTTTTCCTTCATCTGTTAAAAGCCTGTTGGCAAGTCCACAGTAAATGTTCTAGTTTCTTCTCAAAAAGGGACACAGAGGAAGGCACAAGAATGAATAGAGTCACTCCTGGAGTCCTTTTTAAAACAGATCTAAAAAAATAACAAAGTCTAAAAAGATCATGCCATTCTCCATGGATATTGGTTTCCTGAGTTAGGGAGAAAATGTCCATGTGCCTTGGAAAGTTCAAATCCTATTTAACAGTCTTTTGACAAATAAGGGCTATTTCTTGAAGACTTTATGTCCCCAAGTAGCCAAAATATTTAAGATCTGAACAGTATATTTGTATTGTTTTGTTTTGTTTTTTGAAACAGGGTCTCACTATGTAGTTCAGGCTGGCCTTGACCTCACCATGTATCCTAGATTGGCCTCAAACTCATGACAATCCTTCTACCTCAGCCTCCCCAGTGCTAGGACTGATGTTACAAACTGTTAAAGTGAACTAAAGAAAATAATGAAAAGGAAACAAATTGGCTTTCCAAGCTGCCAGAAGAACCACAAGAACCAAGAGTTTTTAGGCTCTTTAGATTTCACTGATCCCACAAATTAATCTCAATCAATACTAGCCCCGTCACACCCTTAAGATTTAGAAAGAGGAAAAGAGCTGGACGTGGTGGCTCACACCTGTAATCCCAGCACTTGGGAGGCTGAGGTAGGAGGATTGCTGTGAGTTCAAGACCAGCCTGGGCTACATAGTGAGTTCCAGGTCAGTCTCAACTATACAGTGAGACCCTGTCTCAAAAACCAAAACCAAAAAAAAAAGAGGAAAAGAATGGTGGGTTGAGATTTCTTCCCCAGAACATTCCCATTGGAAATGCAGTGCTAACGCATCATCCTCAGTCAAGGGGCTCTGCAAAAGGAACTCTACTCCGGTACCCAGCATGAACTCTGCTACCCTTCAGTTGGTCCAGGGGTATATGATAGACCTCAACCTACAAAGACTTGTCCACACATTCCCCAACTACATATAACCCAAAGACTTGGAAGAATTCAACACTGAGGATGAATCTCTTGTGATGATTGGCAAATAGACTCTGCCATGATGCTAAGGGCTCCTGGAAATCTTTAATATCTGCTTTAACATCTTTAATGGGTAAGTTGGAACCTATTGCTTCAGGACAGAAAAGGCCTCTGAAATAACCAAAGCCATATTGAAAGAATTATTCCTAGGTAAGGACTGGCTGTGTCTATACAAAGTGACAATGATTTTGTGACTAGAATAGCTTCAAGGAATATCCAGGTTCTTAGGCATCACCTGGAAATTATGTGCTTCATGGAAACCCACAACCTACCAGAAAGATAAATCATGCTGAAAAGAATCATCACAATAGTCTGCCAAGAGACCAAAGTGACGTGGAAAAGGTGTTGCCTGTTGCTTTGTTTCAGGTGAAAATGTCACCTAGGAGCAGACACCAATTGAGCCCATGTGAATTAATGAACAGGAGACCATTCCAGATAGCCTCACCAGAAGAAAACCTATCTTGAGGAAGAAAAATCAAAATACTGGATATTTGCAAACCTTAAGTGAGGTTCTAGCTTATGCTCATGAGTTTGCATCAAACAGGTTGTTGATTCCCAGAGATATCCTCTGCCACTTTTAAGGTTAGATACTGAGTCCTTCTCAAGTCTTGGGAAAATAAAAGGCCCTTTGGGCACAAAGTGGTATCACATTCAAGGAAACTATGATGTGTGCTGACTGCCTACTCATTTGTTATTTGTGATACATCACACCCAGGTCAAGCTTGCCCCACCACAGCCTGACTTCAAAGCTGCCAAAGCCTATGAACATATAACCCACAACAAACTTCAAATTTTTCTTCAAAATGATATTATTACTGACACAAGTTTTTCTCATTAGCTACACTTCTGTCATTCCCCTGACCCATACAATTACTGTTTTTATTATTGTTTCTCAACCCTTACATTTGCATGAAAAGATAACTCTTTGACCAGGGTCTCTCAAATATCAGCTAAAGCAGAAAATTTAACTGATTGTAGGTATTAACAGTTTTGACCTAAAATGTCCCTCAAAGGTCTCAGAGGTGGAACTTGAAAAGGTGATTGAATCATGGGGGCACTGTACTTATCAGTGAGTTAATCTGCTGATAAGTTCATAACTAAAGATGCTGTTAGAGCCAGACGTGGTGGCACATGCTTGTAATCCCAACACTCAGGAGGCTGAGGCAGGAGGATTGCTGTGAGTTCAAGACCAGCCTGGACTACATAGTGAATTCCATGTCAGTCTCAATTACATAGTGAGACCCTGTCTCAAAAAAACATAAAGAGAGAGAGAGAGAGAAAGGAAAGAAAGATGCTGTTAGAGATGAGGCCTAGTTGGAGGAGTGGGGTCACAGGAGGTGTGACCTGGGAGGATGTACTCTTGTCCCCCATCTCCTCCCTTCTCTCTGCTTCCTGGCTTCCATGTGATGAGTGGCTTTTCTATACCATGCCTTTTGCCATGCCGTTTTTGCCTTGGAGCCAAGCAACCATGGACTGAGTCCTCTGAAAATAACAAAATAAAGCTATTCTTTAAGTCGTGGGAAAGTGAATAATACAGTGGGATGTGTCATCCAAAACCCCTCTCAATTCATGACCATACTGACCTCTTGATTTTACCCATAATTAACTTTTCATCTTCTCCTAACTTTGCTATGAGATATAATTAAAAACTCTCCAAAGTATCAAAGCTGAGTAAGACAGCCATCTAACACCTCACATACTTCTCTATTAGTTTTTTCTTAAACTCCATAAAGAAGCTTGAGTTTTACCTTTATACCCTGAGATTATGAATTGTCCTGAGCCTATTAATATTGCTATAATCGATATAATGATATAATCATTTTCCAGTAACAGTTTAACTAGATTCTGTGTGAGAAAAAGACATTATGGGACCACCCTGATTGAATATAAATAACTCTTATCTTGGCCTTCAACATATTTAACAACACTAACCAAAAAGTTCAGATCCTACTGATTGCCCTTGGTTTGATCTAATCCAAGAAACTTTTCACTGAGTCTCTATTTAAGCAATTTATCGAGGTTTCTATGTGCTGCGGTAGGATGCCTGTTTGTTTTGAAGGGCTTTGAAGGATTCACATGTCTAGATAGCTAGGGAACAGGCGAAGTTTTTCTGTTGGGATATCTGGCCCTGCCTCTTCTCATCTACCAATCCCAAGAAACTAAGCAGTGGACCAGCTCTCTAAGAACTAAAAGAAGGTTTCTAGGTGTGCAGCATCATGTAGCACTTAGCTAAGCATGCAGAGACCCTGGTTTTGATACTTGACACCACCAATGAAAAAATCTCAGGGAGTCTTCTATTTTCCTGGGTAACGGGAAGATGGATTTTAGTATCGTTCAGCAGAACCTTTTTGCCCTGTTGGGGCGTAGGAACCCGTGAACAATGATTAAAAGTCTGTCACCCTGAAAGTTATAGGTGAAGAGACTGCCTGCTCAACAAAAAGGAATAGAATCCTTAGCTAAAGTAGTGTTAGTCCTATAATTCCAGCTACTCAGGGCACTGAAGTAAGAAATTCACAAGTTTGAGGCCAGCCTGGGAAACTTAGTGAGACCCTTAAATTAAAACAGTAAAAAAAGGTCTGGAGATACACTTTTGCTTCCTGGGTTCATTCTCCAGTACTGGAGGCTTGGAAGGATACATATATTACAGTAGTAAATGGCTGGTTCTCAGGATTGTTTTCTTGAATCCTATTAAGTCTGTATTTTCTGGCTACTTTAATTAGGAATATCTAATTACTGATCTTATTTGTGACATGTTATAATTAAATGCACTTCAAAATGTTGCAGTAAAACAGTTGCTAAAAGCTCAAGCTGTAGTATTACAGAGCCCTACATTTACTCCACTAACTTACGAATATTTCAGGTGAAATAATTTCATTCCTTCATCATCCTCCACTTTTTCTCAGCAGGAAATAACCAGATCATCATTGTGCCTATTCCTACCCAATTTACGAATGATAAAATAGTAGGAATTTGTAACTAAGCCTCCATGGTGAAATTTTTTTAATGTTTTCTCTTGTAAGGGCTTGAACCACTCTCTCTCCCAAAAGTTTAGAAACCAAACAGCATGTTTTTTCATCTGGTCAAACTGGCCAGACCTTTCACACATACTCCCTGTCTGTCTTCCTACAATTATCAAGTCACTGACCCTTTTTGTCTTTATTGCAGAAGACTGAACTAACGGCATCCCAAGATATATTACAAACTTATTTTGCAGAACCGTAGATTGTGCAGTGGTTCACCAGATGGCCACTAGCATCAAGTCTGAAAACTTTGATTATATCAAACATGTAAACTACCACTTCCTTGCCACCCCACAAACTGTTCTGTTCCCTTTTCCTGTCATCCCTAGTCATGCTTACTGAGAGATAATGGCTTTGGCACTAATCTCCCATCTTCTGGTTGGTACCTTCTTGATTAAACTTTCTCTACTCCTAGAACTGGTGTTCGGTGTTTGGTGTTTTCTGTACATTGCACACATAAATCTGATTTGGGGGTTTGGTAAAAATAAGATCACTTGAGGGGAATGATAGGCTCACAGCTATTTTACCCTTTGTTTCTGCCCCTTCAGGTGGAGCTGCAGATTTCTGGGGACATTGCTAGTATATAGTGCCACTCCTATGCAGTGTTTGGGGCACCTCTAGCTTCAAGAGTCAAGAGCACATTGGGCCGGGGATTTATAGTTCAGTGGTACAGCTGCCTGCTTCACAAGTGCAAGGTCCCCAAGTTTGATCCCCGGCACAAAAAAGAAAAAAGAAGAGCACAACAGGTTAGGTGAGGTAGCATGGTTATGTAAGAAATCTGTGTGCAAGCTGTAGCAATCAGGGATTTGGGGACACATCTGTTGTCCTGTTCGTACAGACTTGGTGAGTCTTTAAAAAGGAAATTATTTTACCTATGCCAACTCTAGATTGAGTCCTCTCCAACTCACATTTACTAAAGTTAATTTGGTAAAGCCTACAATGCTATTTCACTTCCTTAGGTCACAAACTTTTACTTCATTTCAATCTGGCTTACACCATTTAAGCAGAAAAACATTTGCTTCAGTCATCAAATGGCCCTCTTGTGCTAAATTCTCTGGACTTTATAGTGCTGGGAATCAAACTTGGGATCTTCAGCACACTAAGCATGCACTCTACCGCTGAAATACACCCATCACTACACTCTACTACAGTTAATTTTGCTTAAAGGCAAAAGTAGTACATGACCTTTTGTGTTAGAAAAAGAAAAATAAGAAAACAGGTGTCTGCTCATCAAGAAGCATTCTCCAGAAACTAATGTAATTGATTTCTTGGGAGAGTGGGGAGAAGGGAAAGACTGAGAACTAGTAGCAGGATTAGGAGGGAGTGGTGATTCTTTTTATGTAGAGCTGTACTGTAATTAACATATGGATTATTTCACATACAGATTTTTTTTCCCTCATGAAAACTTAAAATCACTCAGTAAGTTTATAGTTACCATGTTGCCTTGAACTAGCTCCTCTTTAACTGAAATTTTGTATCCTTTGGTCAAGTTCAAAAAAGAAATTTTTTTTTTTTTTTTTTTTTGAGACAGGTTTTTGCTATGTAATTCAGGTTGGCCTTGAACATACTGTATAATCCAGGCTGGTTTTGAATTTGGGGTCATCCTCCTGCCTCAGCCTCTTGAGTGCTAAGAATATTGGTGTACACCATCATGAGAGGCCAGAGTCCTTAAACAGAAATTCCTGATTTTAATGTATTTTAATTTTTCAGTGTTGTCTTTTAATAAGTGTCTTGTGGTTGTTTAGATAAGATCTTCTATATTGCCTAGGATGGCCTCAAAATCCTATGCTTATATGATCCTCCCAAGTGCTGGCACACTACAGGTACATGCCATTACATCCAGCTTTATTAAAAATATCCTTAATGTTTTGCTTCACATAGCTTCCCCTACCCCATACTCTTTTAAAAAATCCATTAAATTATTTTCTACTGAGTTTTTTGTTTGTTTTGTTTTTTGTTACATTTAGATCTCTAATTTAACTGGAGTAAATTTTTCATATACTGAAAGACACATACCCAATTTCATCATTTTGCATATAGAAATCCATTTTTTCCTAGTCTCATTTACCCAGCAGTTGACATTTCCTTTCCCCTTGCCCTGACTGCCATCTGTCATTACTAGGATTCCACAGTCTGATGGTCTGCTTCTGGGCTCTTCTGTTACGTTAACCAATCTCCCCTCTCCCTATGCATGTGCTGCTGTGTCTTAACTACAACACTTTCAGAATAAGTTCTGATCCCTGACAGCAAGTATCAATTTGGAGAGAATTGACATTTCATGGTATTAAACCTATCCATGAACATTAAATCTCATCATTCATTAGGTTTATTTTTATTTCCTTTGCTACCTCTTAATACTTTAAATTATTCCCTGGAGAAGCTTGGACTACTTCTACATTTCTAATTTCTTGGTGGTCTCAGCTATTACTACTTGCTATGTATTAATAAGTTGTAAGAATTTCCTTCTGTTTGTTTTTTGTTTTGAGATGGGCTCACTGTATAGGTTAGGCCAGACTTGAACTCACTACAGAGCCCAGGCTGGCCTCAAACTCACAGCAATGCTGCTACCTCAGCCTCCGGAGTGCTGAGATTATAGGCGTGCTCCACACCCATCTGCCGTCTACTTTATACAGTGTATCTTTGTGGAGCACCTTCAGGAGTCCCTAGGGTACCCTTATGATTCCATTATTGAGTCGGGTTACATGCATCTTCATCTGAAAGGGTTTTGTAACAACAAAAGTTCCACAGAAATATAAGTTCCTACTGAACCCTCAAACATTTAATGAGAGGTCTAATTGGTCACGGAGGCACACACCTGTAATCCCAGCACTCAGGAGGCTGAGGCAGGAGGGTTGTACAAGTTCAAGGCCACCTTGAATTAGAGTAAGAACCTGTCTCTAAAAAACAAAACCAGGCTGGGGATTTAGCTCAGTGGTCCCACCACCTGCCTTTCAAGCGCAAGGACCCAAATTCAATCCCTGGTACAAATTTTTTTTTAATTTATAAAATACTCTAATCGTAACCAGGTATGGTGGTACACACCTGTAATCTCAGCACTTGGGAGGCTGAGGCAGGAGGATCTCTGTGAGTTCAAGCCCAGCCTGGACAAAATAGGAAGACCTTGATTCCAAAAACAAAGTTAAATTGGGAGAAGGATATATAAATTACAAGGGGATGGAGGTTTAGCTCAGGGGTACCACCACCTCCCTTGCAAGTGTGAGGATTATAATTATATAATAATAATAAATTATTTGGCTTTAGGTAAGAAGAGGGGGATACTGTGAAGCAGGAAAAGTGGGAATAGAACAGTATATAAGGAGGAATACTGGCTTCTGTATTGGTTGCGGTTAATAAGAAAGTTGATTCATAAATCAGTCAGTGGCTCTTAGTGGTCAGCACCTGGGATTCTGAGTCAAAACTTCAACATATAATGAGAAACCTATGTAGAACATTCTTTTTCTAGGCCTGTAAGCTAATAAATTCCTTTATCTCTTCCCTCCTCCATCCTCCAGACCTTAGACCTCAAAATACCTAAAAGAAAATCAGAGGATTGTGGTGAAGAGCTCTGAAACACAGCACAAGGATTTTGAGCTTTTTAGTGCTCACTGGCATTTTAAAATAGGTTAATGAAAGAATGAAGAGACAACTTACAGAACGGGAAGAAATTTTTCCAGTTACACCTCAGTCAGAGGACTAGTATCTAGAATCTATAAAGGACTCTAAAAATATACACCCTTCCAAGAAAAGTCTGCAGAAAAAGTATATGAAAAATGTTTAACAACAGTGGCCATTAGCGAAATGCAAATTAAAACAACCCTTAGACTCCATCTTACCTCAGAAAGAATAAGAATAGTCATCACCAAGAAATCAAACAATAACAAATGCTAGGGAGACTGCCAGGGGGCAGGGGGCCTCTACACTGTTGTGGAAATGTGAACTCGTATAATCACTATGGAAATCAGTATGGATATTCCTGAAAAACTAAAAATAGAAATTGGATTTTTACCCAGCTATTCCCCTTCAGGCTATCTTCCTGAAAGGGTTAAAGGTCATATTTCAATGACTTACGCACACGTGTTTATAGTAGCACAACTCAATAGCTAAGTCTCAGAAGTGGTTTATTTGTCCATCAACAGATGGAAGATAAAGAAAATGTATTTATACACTAGAGGACTACTCTGCCATGATGAATGATAAATCATTTGGGGGAAAGTGGGTGCACCTTGAGATAATGTTAAATGAAATAAATCAGCCAGGCGTGGTGGTGCACACCTGTAATCCCAGCACTCGGGAGGCTGGGGCAGGAGGATCACTGTGAGTTCAAGACCAGCCTGAGCTACATAGTGTGTTCCAGGTCAGTCTCAACTATATGGTGAGACCCTGTCTCAAAAAACCAAAAAAAAAAAAAAATCGGACGACACAGCTTGAACATTGCATGCTTCCTTTTCTAGGAGAGAAACCTAAAGTATTAGTAAATTAAAGAACAAAATAAAACTAGATAATAGACAGGAAAATAGTTATTTTATAAAAGGGAAAAGGGTCCAAAAAATGGAGGGAAAAGATTTGGGGAAGAGGATGAAAACAATTAAGATTTTACATGTGTACATATACTAACTCCCCACAATGAATGTAACTATGTACTGCAAACATACTAATAAAAAAATGCTTCTAAAGCCAAGCGTGGTCGTCATACCTGTAATCCCAGCACACAGGAAGCTGAGGCAAGAGGATTGGCATGAGTTTGACACCAGCCTGGGCTATATAGTGAGTTCAACGCCAGCCTACACTACATGGGGAACCCTGTCTCAAAAAAACAACAACAAAAAAGATCATTTATTATATGACTTCTCCCATCAAAGATCTAAAACTGTCTGATGTTGATTCTCAGGGTCACACAGACTTTGATATGTCTTTACTGTGGGATGGCAGTTGGTTTTTTTGTTTGTTTTGGTACCTGGGATCAGACTCTGGACCTTGTGCTTGGGAGGCAGGCAGTGACATCACTGAGCTAAAGCCCTTGCCCGGGATGACAGGTTTTATCAAGGATCTCTCCCTTCCCTTGCTGATTGCTCTATTCCTTTCAACAGTGTGCTTGATCATAAATTGCTTCAGACAATAATTCATACTCCTTTAAGGGGATAGTTGTCAAGGCCGGTGCTTAAAGTAGTTGCAATCCCTAGGCAGACTTGTAACAGTCGTCTGCTTCTCCTCTTGGGAAAATGAGGCAACCTGTATATTTAGTGTACACATCTAAAAACTGCACCCATCTCCCAGTTGCATTTCACTGCAACCTTCCCTGTTTTTGAGAGGACCTGTAGGCTTCAGTTCCCTCGCGCAGAGCTGTGAATGAAGTCAGTTCTGGGAAGTGCCATCTGCTTTTAGCTGTTGCACTTCCTGGACACAATCTCTACACCAAGAAGACTCTGACACACTTTCTGCCCACCAGCCAAGAGCTCTGCAGATGGGTGGAGTAGGAACCTCCACTTTCTGAGCCAAGAACCCTGGCAACAATGGACCCAGTGTTCTCAGCAGAACCACACCCAAGGTGGCACCTCCTTCCAGCCAGCGGGGCCCAACCTGAAGATGCCTCCCTGATTTGCTCAGAACAGCACTTCAGCAATAGGTAGCTAGGGGCATAATAACAATTGCTGACATCTGCCCTTACTAGGAAAGTAGCCCTCAAGTCTCAAGTATATCACAGTATTGGGCCAGGGATTTAGCTCAATGGTGCGACTGCCTACCTTGAAAGCTCAAGGTCCTGAGTTTGATCCCTGGTACCCCCCTAAATAAAAGTATATCACAGTAGTTACTAACTATAAAAGGTAAAAGAGTGGCTTCATACTGGAGAAGACTAGCAAGCATCACCTCTACCAAGTGAAAGTTAACACAGTTCATGGTACTGATACTGATATTGACTGCATGTGTCTTCTTGTACAATAACATCACTTCTGGAGGCTTATAGCTAAATTAACATAGCCCAAATCTAATCCTGAGGGAATAGAGAAATTAACATCAATTCACAAAATAGCTGCATATCTACAAATGGTAGTAGGCAATTTTCTCTGTTTTCCCCCACCAGTTACAATTATGACCTGTGGACATTGTACATAAATATAAAACTGAAAAGAGGAGAGAAGACAGACCAACACAGGACCTTAGTACACAAGGAATGACATACTGAATTTCCTGTGTTTTCTTTTTGTCTCATGTATCAAACAATTTTTTTTAGCATTGAGGATTGAACTCTGGACCTTACACTGAGCTACATCCCCAGTCTCTTTTATTTTGAGAAGAGTCTTGCCAAATTGCCCTAGTAGGATTTGAATTTATAATCTTGCCTTATCCTCCCTCAGTGCGGGGATTATAAGAATACACCTATGTATCTGTGTATAATACCATTTAAACTTCTCAAAAGCACTTCTGTAAAGCTGGGCATGCTGGCACATGTCTATAATCATGGTACTCAGTATGCTGAGGCAGGAGGATCACTATGAATTCCAAGCCAGACTGGGCTACTTAGTGAGTTCAAGGCTGGCCTGAACTACTTAGCAAGACCCTGTCTCAAAAACAACAACAACAACAAACCCAACAAAATAAAAACACAAAAACCATTTAGATATAAATATAGGATATAGAGTCAGGCATGATAGCATGCAGCTGTGTGCGTGTGGTGTGTGTGTGTGTGGTATTATATATAATGCCTGTATATAAGCTATATCATATAAGCTCTCGCTATATATTAAATAGGCCTTATTTGCTGAAAACTACAAAATGCTGAAAGAAATCAAAGAGTGTTTAATAAGTAGACATCCCATGTTCATGGATTGGAAGATGGAACATAAGTATACACGTCGGTTCTCCCCAAATTCATACACAGGTTTAACACACTACTTACCAAGATCCCAACAAGATTTTTTTTTATATACATATAAGCAAGCTTTTTCTAAAGGGGATGCAGAGGAACTAGAATAGCTGAAACAATTTTGAAAAATTAAGGCCAAATTGGGAGGAAACAGTCTACCTAATTTCAAGACTTACATAGCTACAAAGATCAAGATCTGTCTGGACATGGTAGTGCACACCTGTAATGCCAGCACTTGAGAGCCTGAGGCAGAAGGATCGTTGAGAGTAGATCTATGCCTGACTTTTAACAGGTGGATTGAGTTATAGTTCAGATATAATACAAGTTCACACCTTTCAGTGGTTTTATGTATTCACAATTTTAAAACATTTCATGAACCCCAAAAGACCACCTGCCTAAGGATATTTTCTTTTCTTTTTTGCTGGTACTGGGAATTTGAACCCAGAGCCTCACACATGCTAGGCAAGTATTCCATGTCTTAGTCTGTTTCCTGTTGTTATACCAGAATACCACAGCCTGTATAATAAACAGTTAATAAAGGGAGGGGGTAATGGGATAAAAATGATCAAAATATTACATACACACACACACACACACACACATATACACACACACACACACACACACACACCAATACTCCAAAGCAAATATAACTATTACATAAACAAAACAGAAAAATAATGAATAAAAAGCACATAATAAATTCTCATCTCAAATGTCATTGTGAGAATTTACATAATAATTCAGGTAGAGTGCTAGCATTTTATATATTACTGTTATTGTTACTGTCCCAGTTTAAAATTCTGCACTGAAGCCAGGCATGGTGGCACACACCTATAATCCCAACACTTGGGAGGCTGAGGCAGGAGGATTGACCTGAGTTTGAGGCCAGCCTGGGCTACATAGTGGGTTCAAGTTTAGCCTGAACTATACAGTAAGACCCTGTCTCAAACAACAACAACAAAAAGATTATGCACTGAGTGAGCTATAAAAATGCCTTTGAAAAGCTGGGCATGGTGGCACACAACAGTAGTCCCAGCACTTGGGAGGCTGAGGCAGGAGGATCACTGTGAGTTCAAGGACAACCTGGGCTACATAGTGAATTTAGGGCCAGCCTGAATTACAAAGAGACAGCCTGCCTCAAAACACTTAAGAAAATATATAAATAACGTGCCTTCAAACTAGTCAACCTAATTGCTACAACAAAGATGCTTGAAATTCTGAGCAAATAGATACTGTTTTTGACTGAAAAAGTAAAATAAAAAGGAAGATGTTTGTTTAGTTTATGGTGCTGGAGGCTGAGATCCCGGCATAATGTCTCCTCGGGTCAGATTTCTTTCTTGCTGCATCATAACACCACAGAAGGCGAAAGGCAAGTGAATGTGTGTGAAGGCAATGGACTGGATTTTAAAACCTTGATCTGTGTCTCATACCATATAAAAAGTTAACTGAAATAAATCATGGATTTAAAGATGTAAAAGTATAAAACTAGTAAGAACAAATGTCCGAAAATCTTTGGCATCTAAGTCTTACAGAGTTGCATCTAGGGCTTGACATCATGTGTTATCCATATAACTACAGATAACTGTAATGCACTTTTCAAAAGTTCAGAAGAAAGGATTTTGAATATTTTTACCAGAAAGAAATTAAATGTTTGAACGGACAGATATGCTCACTCTGATCTAAGTATTGTACAGTGTAAATATACACTGAAACATCATGTGGCAGTCCCATGTGTGACTTAATGTTAGAACATAGTCTTAGCATCTACAAAGTCTTGGGTTCAAACCCTAGTAAAAAAAAAGAAAGCCCCATCAATCTGTTCCATTTTTGTTCTTATGTATCAATTTAAAATACATTTAAAATTTAAAAACCATTATTCAAGCCAGGCACGGCAGCACACACCAATACTCTGTCACCCTAATATTGGGGAGGCAGTGACAGGAGGATCACGAGTTCA